TAAAGTGATAGAAAAAAAAAACTCTCTTTCGTTTATCGTTTAAATTTTTGTGTCAGTATATCTTCGCAATCGGTTCAACGGGTATTATTAAACATTATATATTATATATTAACGTATACCTATTATAATATAGGTATATTATATTATATTTGAAGGTCGCGTTTAAAAAGTTAAAATCGATGAGTGGGCCACGTGTGCTTGAAAGATATTATCGTATACATTTTTTTTTCTAAGGAGATAATCGCAGAATTTCATTGAGTAAATTACGCAAAACGTCTCAGCGAATTCCGAGGTGTTTGTGTTTAAGGGCTTCGTCACTAACATTATTGGTTTCTCCTCGCACGTAGTGCTTAAGGCAATAGGACCCAGTGGCGTATCTAAGCATTTAAGTGCCAGAGACAAGTTCAAGTTTAGTTACATAGTCGATATTTGTTCAAAATACATATTATATTATAATATTTTGCATTTCAAATGATAAAAATTACAATTTTGGACATCCTGAGAAACAATTATTGTTCCCGTGTTATTCTTATAGTTATGCTTCTAAAAATGATCCTACTATTGATTATTTATAAACAAATATTTGTATTTTATTATTAAGCGCATTTTATTACGCTTGTTTTAATTGACGCATATTTAGAACAAATTGGTGGTTTTTTTTTAGAATATTTTTTTCTAGCTGACGTATAATAAATAAATCCGAGTGAATTTTATCAATTTGTCGTAACTATATTCGGCCCGTAATATTATTGTGCGATGTTAAAGAAATACGCGTTGCGTATACTTTAAACGTTTCGACCGACCATTATTATGATACCTAGGTATTTTTTATTATTATACGAGACATTTTTCCATGAACATTATTATTGTCAATCATATTCCATTTCCTGCGTTATACGAATACTATACAAATTACGAACGTTCCTTATTGTATGTTAATTGAAGGTTTGGTATGTATATATTATCCAAGTTAAATACTTAATAATTTGATATTTACAGGAGGTAATTTAACGAGCTATTATATACGAATAAGTAATTTTTTTTTATTATACACTCAAATAGCTGTATACGTAACTTATACTATCTACAAAGTGATTCTTTTTTTTTTTTTTTACGTACCAGATATCTTTAAGCGAATATTGTTTCATTTTAGTATAATAATATTATATCTTGCTTGAAATATTTTCGATATTTTACCATTTTACTCACATTCCTATTCTAAACCCGTATCAACGTGAAATTTCGAGAAAACAGGAAAAACAAATTTACTCAAAAACTTCGTATATAATTTGTCGCTGGTTAACCAATAATTTTATCCACAATAAATCACGAGCGTATTGTAAACTTAATCATAATGTAACTCAAACATTTTTTATGTTCAGAGTTCGTTGTTTTTAGTGTTATATTCTGTTCGATTGTATGCCAATATCAACTGTAAACAATAATATTCAGTGGCTGTAAGGAAAAACTTATTTTTGTTGTCTTTTGCTAACTCGACGGTACTTTTGAAAATAAAAATAAATTGAAAACCAGTTAACGGTATTATATGTTTTACCTGGTTCTTTTTAAAAGTGTCCTTCAGACTATTTTACCGTTATACCTTAAAGTTGTCATAAGAAGGTTAGCTAAGTAGTCTCTCAAAAAAATGTGTGTGTTTGTTTATATTGTTTAAACAGATAATTAAACGTACGTTGGTTAATTATTTAATTTTTAAAATGTTTAAACAGTAATTTGTGTACCTATTTTTAATCGTTGTTTAAATGTTAAATTAACTATATATTATGAAGTTGAGATTAGAAATAAAAATGATAAACATTTAAAAAATTTAAACCTTTACATTAATTTGTATTTACTTCCGTGAAAATTATTATTCTTTCTCCACTGTTATTTTACTTGGCGTCGCATCTTTTTTTCAGGATTTGCTTAGTATATTTCATGTATACATATTATTGTCACTGGAAATGGACTATTAAAATTTTAATGTCATATCTATGGGGGTTTTAATCTCAAAACCCAGTTATTTTTTCAATATTATTGATTTTGTATTTCTAAAATAAATACTTATTATTATATTTATTGTGAAAATAATAGATGATTTAATTTAACAACCCTCCCGAAAATTTGGTTCAGCACTCGATTAAATATTTTTATTTTCAGTCCGTAGATTAGTTGAATGATGTATCAATGCTTCTTCACCCTTCTCTTTCCGTTTAGCTACTTTCTTTGTAACTTGTACGATTTAGTTCCTATATCCAACATACACAAATGACTGCCTTAGCCTTATTTTCCCTACAGGTTTCCCTTAGATTGTTCCTTATAAGATGTCCTATCCATTTATTTATTTTTCCAAGAGTTTCCTATCTATCGATCATCCTACAATGGCACAACTCATCATTAGACACCAATTTCAATGCAATTAGTTAACTAATTAATACGCCTTCTGTCAATATATTTATTGCGATATTTTTCGGTACATTATAGTGACCAAATAGTTTCTGAAAAATTTTGTTTAGTATAGTACCTAATTATATCGTTTTAGTAACAGTCCCAGTAGTATTTGAGTTGTACTGTTCGATTACAATATATATTATTATACTTTCTGAACAAATTTAAGCGTTATAATAACATGTTCTTTTTGCACTTTTTGAAGTAGTATACGTGCTGAAAAAATAAAAATAAAAGAGTATGTACAACTTCACGGTACTCTCGGTTATTGACTATAACAAAATATTATGTAAACGAAATATTTAATGAATATATTATTATTATTATCATCATAGTTTGCGCAAAACTTCGTTATAATGTTGTTTACATGCTCGTGTATTATGTACATATCAGATTCTTCTGTATCGTAAATCCATAACCTACTCACGGCATGTCCGTTCGGTAATATTGCGTTGATTCATTATTAGACATGATGATGTATTAAAAATATTTTGTCAACATCCGTTTTTTTCTTCTTTTTTTTTTTTTTTTTTTAATTTCGGTCGAACTTTAAACTGTATGCAGAACGTAACTGGCAGCGGTGAACAGCTGTAGCTGTCGTCGACTGTGCGATGAACACGACGGACGGCGAGAAATTCAATTAGGCACGCACATATTATAATATTATTATAACCGAATGTGTTTAAATAATATTATATTGCGAAAAAATATGGGTATTTTTTTTTTTTCAACGTCTTCGAATATTTTTTTTACATTCGGTAGGTATTTTTTTTTTCTTTCTAATTTTCAATGCAAATCCGAATATAGGAATGATGTCCTGTCGACCGAAAACCGGTTTATTTTTTCTTCCGTTAATATAAAGTAAAAACCGCCGACATTTTTACCGCGCGTAGATAAACAATTTTTAATATTATTTATTATTAAAAACACTCGTATATACCATTTATGTCTTAAACTTGATGTCCTCTTATAACGAAGTAATCGTCTCGCAAAATAAATAATAAATTAAAACCGGACTTCGCACCATAGGGCCATTTTGTTTAAATACAGCATGTGTGCAACGATAAATTACTGCAAACGAAAAATGATTATATTCATGACCACATAAAAAAAAAAAGAAGAATGTTTAAATTTAATTTAATAAAACATAATGCTTAACAAGTATTTTATAATAATATATTGTATGATCAGTAATTATCAACTATAAGTAATAAAAATAAAAATTATACAAATTCTATACATTAACACTTTTAAATTGTATATAAACTAGTTAAAAAACAAAACAAAAAGATGATATTGAAGATGGTGATATATAATGTTTGGAATTTGATAATAATACATTTTTTTTTTTATAATTCAAATTCAAAACAATTATTATGTTTAATTTAGTCAAAGAACGCACTGTTACATTCAATTTAAATTCACATTTGTGTGTAAAATAAATTCATACGTATTCATAATTCATAATTTAAAAATTGAATCCACTCGTGAATTCAATTATTCCAAACCGCGATTATAGTTGTGTTTATTCCTCCGTTGCCCGAGGTAACCCCAAAACAAAAAGGTCCTAGTGGTAAACTGTTGAAAATTGTTTAAAAATGTTTTATATAAAGTACAACCGAACGAAAAGTCTGCATCTTTTGAAGTATGGCGTGAAAAAACCATTTTCATTAACCGTAAAAGAGTTTTCCGGGGAAAAAACACATCTTCGTAAAACTAACACCTACTATATTGCTTCTGCGTATCTGCACATAAATTAAAAACGAGATATTAATCGTGCATTTCATTTCATACAGTAGTTTTATAGTATGTTTATATTATGTTTATAATGTTTTATACTTTTTAACAACCCGTTAACAGAATAACGAAATTTCGCTTCTCCTAGCTGAACGTTTTTCGGTGTTTAAAATACTAATATTACCAGTCGTTATCCACTATAAATATTATTTTAATACGATTTCATTTTTATCATTCGTAGGTTGTTGCGCGAGAAGTCGGCGCTGGACGAGGATTTCGTGGCGTTTTGCGTGCAAAGGAAAGGAGCGGCCAAACACTCTTTGCGGCACATTATCGACTTGCCGGTAAGTGGTCTCTATATATATTATTATACGGTTATTATATACCATTCTCCGACGTTATATTATGGACACGTATCTACCTACACGTAATTTTTCGCCATAAAAGTTTTTCTTTTTTTGACGACGACTAATAAGTCGTCGCGGCGATTCTAAACGATATTTACGACTTTCTCGGCCGGGCAATAATTATTAATATTATTATGCCGGGTTTCGTGAGACTTTTACATAACCGCGATAACACGGTTAACGGTTCTGTAAAACAAATAAAATATTATATTATCAAACACTGCAGAATTACTGAATCGATAAGTTATTAAACTTCATTTTACAATTTGCTGCAGAGCTGTTCAACCGCAGAAAATATTTTATGGACAATCTTCCTTATCGTTTAATAATTATTATAATTTTGAACGTATCATTCGAGTTTTTTGTTACTACAATGTTATGCTGTGCCATAAAATCTATAAAATGTAAATAAAAACCAATTTCAGTTTCATTACTCTAGAATGAATCGGATGACGATTTTATAAAATTTTACGAATATGATTTTTCAAATTTCGATTAATCTATACCGAGGTGAAAACGATTTAGATATATATATATATATATATATATATTCGAATAATACGTTAAAATACGTTCGTGAAACACGTCAATCCGTTCGATATGGCCAGACCTGTATAGACGTATAGACGAGGTAAATACGCGCCTAGAACTGGGCCGTGACATGAGCTATTTAATTTTTTTCCAGTAATACACGATCGGTATACTAAAATTGAGCACGTCAAAATGTATGAAAATAATATAAATTTCTATCGTTAAATTGAAATCGCATGTAAGACAGAATTGTACGGCCAAAGTTCCGGATGTCGGTTATGATAATGTAATGTTATTAACACTGGGGGCTGTACTTATTATTATAGTAGTGATCCGCGGGCCAAGATATTTTCGCAGAACCGATAGATCACCAAGCTGATAACGGTTTACAGAACACTAGCCGTTTTCGTGTACCCGTACGCAATCCGGCATACCCAAGTGTTATAAAATAACATCATCGTTGATCGGAATCGCGAATGTCCCGTATTATACCAGGCATGTGTACGCGTTTTTAATAGCATTTAAGTATGTTATACTGGCACAATATAATGCGCGTTATAAATAATATTGTTAGATAGCACCTGAATTATCGTATAAACCGCTCGCGGTCCGGTTGCGCAACTACTCGCGGTTTCTTCACTCGCGCGTAAAACGTCCGCGAGGGCTCCCGACAAACGAGTCCGCGCGCGCCGAAGACCCTTGCGACACGTCCGCGCGAATAGGGTCAAGCGGTTCGGTTTTCTGCCGATTGTATTTTATAAATAATTATGATCTATGTGCGTATATACATTACGTATTGGTTGGCGATTAATTGGTAAACCATAATAGTATAATATAATACTGCGCAGGTTTAAAAGTATTATGTATTATGCAGCGGAACATCGATAAGTCGAAATCCGAGGGGAATTCTAGTTTTTCGACTTGTCAAGGTTTTTCGACTTGAAGAGTTTTTAAAATGTATTTTTCTGTTTTTAATATCGACATTAGCATCGATGCATAATACTGCTGAAACCATTGAAGTGCGCATTCTCTACGTCCGAAAATGCAGGGCCTCTATTCCTCGTTCGACGAAAAAAATTCAAATTAGTTTCCTTACTATTTTTCATAATAACTATAGAATAGATAGTGTGTTTGCTGCTATGCCGAATTGTTCATTTCATCTATATTCGGAACACTGAATGTACGTGTTATCTTAGTTTTTTTTTTTGAGTAATTGAGATTTTCGTAAGGAGACGTCATTTATTTCGACTTGCCTAGGGTTTTTGTCTCAATCGAGGTTCCACTTTACCTCCATTATACGTCCGCATACTATACAGCTGATGTACTTACACAACAAAAGTTCCTCGAGCAGCGCCGTAGATGGTGGGATTTTAGAAAGAAAAAACTGAAATTAAACGTATGTTGAACTAAATTTTTAATTTAATCGATTTTCAACTACAATAGTTAATATATGCGTTATATCTATGAGCTTTGTTAAAATTTGAACTCGAAACGTTTAAATAAATAGGTATCTGATATAAGTAGGTAAAACAGGCCTGAACTTTATAATACCGTTAAAAAAAAAACGCAACAATTTCCGTCATATAAAACTATGACATTTTTTACTTTTCTAACTATATTTTACGTAAAAAAAATGAAAGGGCTTTTGAAATCGCATATAGAGATAAACATGCCCATTGCCAAATGTGTACTAATCGACAACATTTCAAAAACGATTTCTTTATCAAATGTGGTTCTATATATGTCTGTAAATATATATATATATATATATACACATTTGTTTTTATAAATGTTTTATGTCTAAACGAAATTTTAAAAGCCTTTTCGTTATAATTGTTTTACATAAGCACACTGTTGCTGTGTCACCCGTAAGAAAGGCCGGCGGGAACGGCAAATGCCACGGTAACTACCGCCTCTCATAAGTGGCGATACAAAAACTGCGTGGTATAAGTCTTTTTTTTTTTTTTTGTATGAAAGATATTTCAAATTGCGTATACACCTACCGAAATATTCTTTATTCGGCATTGTTATAATAGTATATTGGATTACGCGTATTTTCTTGCATATTATTCTTTGGTGATTTTACATAATAATATAACATTCAAACGTGTGATGGCGTAATCGCGTGTATACACGCGGTTTTTCTCTTTCTAAACAATTTCTTCGTTATTATTATCGACTCTAAAATCCCACCGACCTACCCGTATTCAACAGCTACTTCCTGGATATCAATAGAATAAATATATAATGTATAAATTGTAAAGATTTATATTATGATAATTCACACGAGTGCACGTGACACAAATACCGATACAGACACTGTCAGGCACACGGGCGCAAATAATTGATAATTATCTTATGTGTGTATGTGTGTATGTGTGCGTATGGTAAGTTTTAGAAAAGTCGCATTGTTCCGAAAACTGTTTTTAAGTACATGTGCACAAGCCGCATAATGTCGTGTAATTTCGTTCAAACAACAGTGTGCTGCAGTATAGTAGAAAACCGCATTTAATTATTGCACGCATATAGCCGGTAAACAAACAAAACCGTTATTGTTTTAACGGGCTAGTGTACATATTTATTATAGATATACAAAAAGATAAATGAATAAAATATTGCAGTTATCGATGAGCCCTTCGTGTATGATTGATTGAAAATTTGACAACGATGAAATAGGATATTTACAGCGTAATAACGTACTGAAATGTATTATAGTCTCGCTTTTTTCCGTCGTCGTTATTATATCGTTATCGTCGTCTTAATTAATTTTGTTTTTTTCAATTCGCTTTATTGTGCGCATGACTTTGAATTAGTAGGCGCCAATATTCGGAGGCCGTATTGATGATGTACGGAAAAATGTTGGCTTTAAAGTGATAATAATGACGTAGTATTGTATTTGTCAGTGGCGTAATTGACTTAGTATTGTGGGGGGGGAGGGGCAACACTAAAATTATTATACACAAGCTATTATACCTATTCTATATCTTACCATGAAGTGTTTTTATTTTTTTGTCTGATGATACTTTTCTAGCAATATTATATTTTTCTATATATTTATATAACAAATACCTACACAAATTAATTGATGGGGGGTGATCGTCCTCATTGCCACCCCCCTCAAATACTGGTATTTGTACCTATAATAACATACCTAACATTAAATATAGGTACTAGTATATGTATATTTTAATATTTAGAATAATTAGGGCCCGGATTTAAACACTTTATAAACGATCGAAAAATACTCTAAAAAAACTACCCTAAAAAATTACCAAGGCAATTTTTTTGAAAAATGAAAAAAACAGCGAAAAATGTAGTGATGAAATTTTAACTTTTTTGCAATAGTTAAATGTCTGCGACCACGTTGACGTACCAAGGCCATTAATAATGATAAAATAAAGACGTTATCGAAATCGTAAACGCAACAGTTATTGGCAATCTATATTGACGAAGAATAAATAAAACCTTTCATGAATATCAAATTTCTCGAGATATAATATTATTTTGAATAGCTCGCCTAAATTTAAACACTGTATTAATTCGTATAACGTAGAAATATACAACAAAAACTAATAAAATAACCGAAAAATGCGAATTTAAGTTGTAGTATCTACAGTTTTACACGATTAAATTATGTACTTGGAAAACATTATCTTTGATCGAATAAATAAAAAAAAAAAAAAAACGCATCTCATTGAAATCCGCGGACCAGCTATCGTAATTCATATAAAACTGAAAACGTTAAATAGTATAAATATATCCGATCGAAATTTGAAACACGATAACGACGGTATACAAAAAAAAAAAAAAAAAAAAAAATGATCGTTGTGCGTCATTGTATATTAGTTATTGAATCCCAAACATTTGTATTATATTTTATCGATATTAAATATACAAAATCATTCATCAACAATGCTTGAGTATGTATCGAAAATGTATACGATGCTGTTGTACAATTTGTAAAAAAATAAAAAGAAGAAGAAAATAAAACTAATATGCGACATCACGTTTAATGCGCGTTGCAACTATATTGCAACGTAATGAAGACGCATGGAATAACTGCGGGTATAATACGCGACAATAAAGTAATTAAATTAAATTATACGTATGGTATTATCGATCGTAAACTACCGTCGCCGGTTTAGAAAAAAAAAAAAAAAAAACGATTGCGATAATAGTTTATCGTTTAGAAACGCGTAGAAATTGTCTTTGTTTTGAGTAAAAACTCGAGGACGCTGTAAATTACTCGCGTTTATACTGACTGTCCCGGTCGTCGTAGCGAAATTATAGGTACGCGTCAACATAAATCGCGACGTTTAGGTCGAAATAATTACGAGTTTAAACGCGGATAGCGAAATTTAAAGAGGCAAATATTAATTGCGCGGACAGTGTGTACGCGTTGTCGTTTATTATTTTTTTTCTAGAAACCATAAAAATAATAATGACCGTCGTTGTTTTTCGTTCGACGCATCATCCCGTGTAAAAATACATCATTGAAACGTAAACTCGAAAACATTCTCCTCTTTTCGATTCGGTTGTTTTTATACGTTTGAATTCTAAACGCCACGACAGTTTAACGTTTCGAACAACGTAGTTTCACGTAATTTACCGGTATAAAATGCGGACGGCAACAAATATTTGGATATTGACATATACTATTTTTTTGCATAAGTAATGCACCTATGGTTACCGCGTATTTCGTTGTTTTTTTTTTTTTTGTTTGCTTTTAGTACACGGCGTATACGCGCACGCATTTATTATTGTCATTTCGTAGTCTTGCGGTTTATTACAATAATATTTTAATAATAATACCATTAGGATAATATAATGTTCTCCGGTGCGCGGGCAAAACGGGCCGAATAAAAAGGCTCTCGGGGGTTTCAGTATACGCGCGGTTTACGGGATATTTTTAAAATTCATTGCAAATAGAAAAATTTCAATACTATCATATCAGCTATGTATACAGCTGTGTATGAGTTATATAGACGTATTGACGTATTTTTAAATTCAATTAAAATAAATCATCAATCATGAGTTTTCGATTCATTTCCTGTGAATTAATCCCTAAAATATTTAGATTATTTTGCATAATGATACTCAACTCGTTTTGATTATACCTTAGAATTATCGTATCCCGAATATAATCGTAAATCGACATAATTATTCGAGTTAACGTAAACCCAATTTAATGAAACCGATAAATATTGATTTAAGTCCACTATTAAATCGAACTCCATTAAAATTAATAATTTACTCAAAAAATACAAAAGTGAGGTTAAATATATTTTTACCAAACGTATTAAATAGAAACAAAAATTAAATTTATTAGAATGAAAAAAATAACACGAACAATCTCAAAATGTCGTGTAAATAAATGCAGAAATAAATTTAACGTAATCGCTCATTTGACCGTGTACCGAAGATTTTATCGTCGTCGTGGTATCAATTTACCAGTCCGTAAAGGTCCACTGATACATTAATTACCTCTCTACATTGTAAGTCAAATCAAATGTTATATATTATTACGATATGAATTGCTATATGAATCGCTCTCAGATCTCTGTCAATTACATCAATCCACCGAGTTCTGGGTCTTTCTAAGGAGTCTTGTTTAGCCCGTTTTATCCATCAGCTTCTTCTTTATCAATCGACGGTCCTCTCTTCGGGTTTGACCAAGATTTTGTTTTTTCAAAACTGTAGCTCGGTTTTTCCGGTCGCGTATTGTTTGTGCACGCGACGACGACGATAGGAAACGACAGAAATGTTTTTCCGGGGCCGGGATCGGATAATGCGGAGAGTAAAATAATGTCCTTGACTATGTATATATAAGGCGACTATAAGGCGAAGGTGAGACGACGACGGCGACTACGAAGTTTCATTAAAAACGCATTAAAAACGGACATACGAGGGCTTATTATTAGTTAGAATGGGAAAAAAAAATATAGGTATATATAATATTATAATAAATGCACATAGAAAAGATCAATGTAATATTATATATCGTCGACAATAGCTGCAGCGTGATATTCTTATTACTTCCCCTCCCCCTTACCCCCTCCCATCGCCGGATGATTGATGTTTCAAGAAAATATTGTATGCTTCCTGTGTGAAATATATGACGTATAATATTATTATTATTAGTAATTATTATATCGTTGTTGTTGGTTCAACGGTGGCTCGGCGTGGACATCCAAAGAGTGACCTACGATGCTACAAACTCGGACTGTACGAAAAACGATCGTACAGAATTATAGACTGTATATAGAGTTTGGAAAATAATTTGTAGACATTTGATTTTTGATACTGAACGCAACGAGGGATATATTAGTTTTACTATGATGTATGCTTTTTTTTTTATGTTTGTAAATTACTTTTTTACAAGACATTTTTTTTTTCATTTTCCTAATAGTTTTCTTAATAATTGGGAAAAATGGAAAAGGGGAAAAATACGACTAATTTGTAATAGGATTGTAATAAGAGATGAGAGACAACACGGATTATAGACGTCTTATTAATTGTCTAAAATATAATCTATAATTATCTATTTCATATATAATTAACACAAACGAAAAAATTATTAACAACATGATATATGTTGTGAAAAAATCAAAAACTGATAATTCTGAAATCGTACACTAATTAAAGTACACTAAGAGTACATTAAAAAAAGTACACTAATTGTGTACTGATCTGTACGTCCCTGGTGTGTAGGGACGCCGGCCGCGGCAGATTCGGCTCCGTCGTAGTCGACGGGACGTTTGATGATTGAAGCCGACGCTGACAACGCCATCCCGGGCAATATAAAAAACGCGTACTTTAACATTACACCGCGGTCGTCACTGTTGTTCTTTCGGAACGAATAAACGGGAAAATTCGATTTTTATTTTGACTTTCGTTCCACAAGTGTAGTTCGTATGTACGTATTATATGGACGACGGCGATTCGCGCGGGCACCAATTACTTCGGCCGTTTTACAAACTCTATACTACTGCGGCACTGATTCGATCCCACGATTCACTCTCGTTTAGATACGTTATTTTTCAAACATTTTATCAATCGGAAACTTAATATTATTCCGACATTTTTCTTATTTTTTTTTTTCTCGGAATTTTATTGACTACAAACGAGCAATACGTGTAGGCTGCAGATACAAAATAATAGTTCGCCCGCACGACAATTACAATTTTCTTATAACTCGATTACTTATTTCTCGTGTTATCAGCAATGACTACGATAATTATGGTTTTATCGTAACAGCGTGTAAATTGAAATTTACATCATCTAAAACGCGATTGTGCTGTCATAATTCTAAAGAAATATATTTTCAGATAGTATAATATCCATTTAGTTTAGATTGATTTGTTTTTACGCGTACTCAATTATTATGTTAATTTTCGTTTAGTAGAACATTTTTAGAAAAAGTCGTGTGTTTTTGTTTCGAGTCTTTTGTCGTTACCTTTAAATAATATAGCGAGTGTATTGTTATCACGCAGTTACGAGTAGACATGAAGTCTGTCCGTTATTTTGTAAACCTGACATAAAAATCGACGACGTTAAAAAACGTGAGCCTTGAAATCGATTCAAATCGATTGGCGTTTAGGAACGCTTCGTTTTTCATATTAAACACATCGGAAAAAATCCTTTTCTAACCGATAAATCGATTTTCAAAAATATTAGACGTATTTTCTTCAAATGTATTGAATTAAATTCGTATTTTCACTTTTAGAAAAAACCCGATATCTTTATTCCGATATCCTCTACAATACGTCCGATATGTGTTATCGGATTGAGCAGTTATGCCGATAGTTTCTATTTCGTTACCACCCAATATGTTTCCCTCGTGTAAACGGGAGTTTTTTTTTTTTTTTTAAACATTATTATCGAAATACATTTTTAGATTCTTTATTTGTGTCCTCCGTCTGTTAACGTAAACGTTTTATCGACTTCCAATCGCGGAAAATATCTGATCAAATTCATAGTATATCTCTAATAACAATGAAAAACTGCCGGCAAATGATAACCCGTCGATTTTTCTAAATCTCTATGATAGTACGCAGCAATCTAAAATGTTAAACATTTTAGCCGAAGAAGGATACTTAAGTTTAGTATAATGAGACGGTTATCATTTTGAATTTTGAACTTTTTTTTTGTCGATTTCTAATTAGCTTTTTGTCGCCTTCAAATCCTATCGTGTAAACTTCCCTCCTATACAAATACGGTGAAACCTATCGGTGTAGGTACATGTCCAGATTTTTTCTATCGAATTAAAAATAGGTTATTATCGTTATCAAACAGAATTTACTACGCTTTTTTAATAACAATAAAAAAAAAAAATAAAATGTTTTATGACTGAATTCAATACCTGCATCGTTTTGTTTAATGTATACAATAACTGGATGGAAATTATTACCAATACGGGATTTACAATGGAACTGTATAATATATAGGTATACAAAATGTAGGTAGATATTCTGCACTTAGAATATACCGTTTTCGATTAGCAAATAATATTATTAATGGATAGCGTTGTATGGAGGTCAAGGATAATATTTATTGATGTAGGTGTAGGTTATTTTATCTGATTTATTTAATATATGTATACGTTTGTGCATATATGTATCTTCGTGTATATTTTCTCCGATAATGGCGACAAAACGGTTTGCGTTATCATATAGGTATGGGTACTCGACAAAGCTTAACGCGACATCGTCGGTAACGGGATAGAGAAAATATTAATATTTTTTTCCCCTTTGCTTACAGGCCTCGAAAGCCACCGTCGCCAAAAGTCTCACTGCCGTTCTTATACGTACATCCGTAATCTCCAATTCCCGTCGTTCCCAGGCTTTCCATATATTTGTCCACTCTATACCAATCCATCTCTAATATAGGTCTACTTCTTAGTCACTTAACTTATCCTTTGCTCAGCGGACATGGCAAACCGGCTCTAATCATTTTTTCTTCTTAACAAATTTTCTAACAAGATTCTTACTCCTATTTTTGAGCGTAATGACTTTTCTGAAAGCCAATTTTTGTCTAGTTGATACAGGAAGTAATATTCGACTTTCCTTTTAATTTTCGTAAAAACTGTGAAAAACGTAGCAATAAAACCCGGTTGATTTACTTTAATAACAGTTTTGATATTTTCAGTTTTGTTTTACTGCCAGAAATTTTGATCCGATTTTCTAGTGGAGCATCTTCTTTTTTAATATTTTACTTATACCTATCTGTACATTTTAATATTTATGCATTTGATATATTTATTATCGTTGAAAAAACGTATTCATTTTTTCGGGATAGTTAACTTGTGCGTGAATCGTATTGAACGCATCTCACTGCGATAAATTATTATCATCATTGTCGTTTTTGTGTAGGCATAGTGTGTATTGTTTTATTAAAATAGGCGTGAAACGCGTAGGTTTCCGCGTATACCTATCCATTGTACTTATATACTACTTATCCGTGTATATTGTAATTTATAAGTGTATATAGTATTTACTATAAAAATATTTGTTTGTAGTTGAAGACGACGACGTTAAAAAAATAAAATATAATCTAGGTACTTATTAACATTTTACTCGACAAATTTTTTGTATTGTTGTTTGTGAGTGTATATAATTATAATTATATACATGCATTTCCAACTAAAAATGAATTATACCTAACTATACGGAATCGGTACTTTAAAAAGATAGCACGATAAATAACGTTTTTAAGTTTTAAAAAAAAAATGTTAGAAAAAAGAAACAAATTGATCAATACTAAAAAGCTACGTCAAGTTTTGGGACTTAGAGGCTATAGGAAGAAGGTTTTATCACTCAACCTTAAGCTCCTTTTGTGCCGTCTACTAGCTGTAATCTAGATTAGAACGAAAAGTTTCTAAGCTTTACTAGTTTTAATACTAGAAGTTACTATAAGGGTGATTTGTTAAATTCATTGTGAATGGGTACGACTGACACGAGTTTAGTAATATTAATCCATACAAATTTTTTAATATTGAAAAATTATTCGAGTTTGAATATGCAGTAACTAACTTAACTGACTGGCAAAAAGTATAGACAGTATAATAATAACTAGAAAACGGATTTTTAGGTTCATAAAAGTTTAAAATATGATGCTAATATGCTCTAAAAAAACCTTAAAATATTCTCTTAATATTCCTTAAACATGAAAATATGCTAAAATATGATTTTTTTATTTAAAATAATTTATAGAACTGTAAACAAGTTACAACAAGAAATATGTATTGTATATTTGTACATATGCCTACATTAAATTTTACAATATTTACCATTAATATTGTTCTTCGTGTTATAATTATATAGGTACTCAAATTTGATAATCAACCTCAAAATATACATTTACTTGTACCATTTCTTTGGTAAACTTAGCTATATTTAAAAGATAATATATTTCATAATATTATTGTTGTGTTTTAGCATTTTAAAAAATAAAATTGAATAAAAAAAAATGTAAATAAAAACTAAAAAACTTAATAGTTAATTTGAATCATTTTTATCATTTTAAAACATTTGGTCACTTATAATCAAAATTCATAGATACTAAATATTATCACTCGCCAAAATCTCTTAATGATTTTGTTCATGTTCCAAGAGTAATAGAGTAACCAACATTACCAATTTGACAACAAACCAGAAACTGAATGGTTTTTATCATTCTTCAATCAAATAAGTAATATTAATTTTTTCCTTCAGTGAAAATACCACACTCGAGAAAAGAGCTAAATATATGATTTTTTTTTATAAACAATAATGCAACGTATTCTAAAATATGAAAAATGGGTTAAATATTCTCCAATCTCCAAAATATGCTCAAATATGCAAAATAAATTTTTTTCATGTACTCTGTAATGGATAAATCGTCCACATTTTTCATCCTCGTTGCACTGCATAAAACCAATAAATAAATGTAAATTAAATTCCTTAAATTCCGCTCTTTAGAAATAACTAATATTGTACCTATACTAAATGATAATTACCCAAACTCTTACCCATTTACAAGGGAACTATAAACACGACAACATTTCGAGGAAGATTTTGGATTTGAAAACCGAATGTTTGAATAATCTTAGGAAAAATGTATTGGCAGTGTCTGAAATTTAGGCGCTTCCCGGATTTGTCGCGTTTGGTATATTGCAAAACGCAATAAACAGCGGATCGTGAAATTTTCGCTTTAGAGTTAAAAACAATCAAATTTTCGTTTTTTAAATACGATACAAATATTTTCGAGTCGGCGATTCCTCGTACTTGTTTTCAGTAAATTTAATTATTGACCGCTGGAAAATCGTTTCAATTACTACAGCAAATATGTATCTAAATGCTATATTTATAGTTTTTTTTTTCGCAGTACATATGTATACATATTAGTAATATGTATAATTGCGTTAGTACATCATCCCACATTTTGATATCTTCAACGGCTCTACTATAGTATATAATATAAGTATAGTAAAATGCATCACCTTGGATGCAAATTACCTGTCGTTCGCAGTTAATCTAAATATGTTTTATTGCCGTTATAACACACGAGCCCACGCACTCACACATAGATAAATGCAATAAAGGTGCGGTTTTAATCTAATACTGCATTTTCTAATACTTACATATACCCTTATTTTTTTATTATTATGTTTTTAAAACCATTTCGCTCGTAGTTTTATTGTACCTATATAATGGCGTGGTGTCTAATACAATAATATAATAGCCGGAAGGTCCGTGAAATTCTGTGCGATAAATTATCAAGTTAATAGTTATTTATTGTATTACGTAGACCATCGTCTAGGTAATAGGTGCGAACATATAATTTATAGTGGCACATTATAAATTCAAATTCAAACCATAGAGATAATCACTCTTGTAAACATTTAGAAGAAAAAAAACAACGTTTTTGTGGCACGGCGTAACAGTATATCATGAGATTTCGTGTACTTAATGTTTAATTTTTAGCCAGTCGTCGCTTATTTCGAGTGTTTTTTTTCCACGATTATAAAGACATTGTATACAAAAAACAAAGAAAAACCCTTCTACCCCGACAACATAATTGAATTCATATTAAAATTAAACTAAAATCGTACCATTTCAAGCCATCATGATTTGGTTCAGAAGCAGCTCTAAGTATCAAAAAGTAGCGGGAAAAAGATATATCCTACAAATAATTATAATTATGAAATTTTGAATGTTTTTTATACGCCAAAATAGCCGAATAAATTTAGATGAAAATAAAATATGTTCTGGTTTAACGCATTGGATTCGTTTTATCCAGAAGTTGAACCTCAAAATGGTATCTGCAGAGGGTTTTTGGTATTTTTAGAACGAAAATCTAATTAATTTTTTTTGATTTATGGGTGATTTTAGCGACATTGAAGCAAAAATTTAAATAAATTATTATTATAATTTTTTCTGGTTATCACTGATAAATAAATACTTACCCTTGAAAAGAAAAAAATTACCTGGCAATAACAGTAAACTGTAATCGATACAAGGTGCAAACGGTGAGTCACGTGGAAACATCACGGGGAGACACGTGTTTATATTTTTAAAGTTAAAGTTTTAAAATTAAAGTTCAATTCAGTATTGAACTTTAGTTTTGAATGTGGGGATATGTTTTCAGAATAAGGCAGTTCAAAATGTCGCTAGGGACGGCAAATTGTCAAATCCGCCCCTGTATTTTGATAATATATTATGCGCGTGATCCGGTCATACATACTATCGTATAACAATAACGATACTAATACCCGAGTATATAAAAATATTATACGGGCGCGTGCCCTGTAATTTCGCGGTCGCAAGATGGCGTTGCCTAACCCCCCCCCCGAGAAGACCGTATACGTACAGCGCGCGTCGAACAGTCGAACATCCGTGATGGAAAACGATCCTCGTCGCGACTCGTTAACCTGTCAAAACGTATTTATTTCAATATATAAATGTGTGTATATTTTTATTATTTTTTTTTTATTATTATTATTACCTTTCGCTCACTCTTTTGGTCGGGACGCCCGTAAATCGTAATATTATTATTATATGCACACGTGTTATATTATATTTGTACGCGAGTTTTCGAGCTCTCCGGTTCGGCCACGAGACACAAAAAAAATACAGCTGCCGGTCAAAACGTCTTTACCGAAAATAATAGTAATTCCGGTGGAGATGTCTCTAAAACGAACAATTATCGGATGGATAACATAATAATATTATAGTTGTTAATATTTTTACGGATACCTGTAAATTATTATACATTTTGTTTAGCGTATACGTATTTCTAATAGTAATTAGGGTACAAAAATTGCAATCCACAAAATTATGCACGAATTATAAAAAATTAATTTAAGGTTACAGTTTTATTCAAAATCGGATTATTATTATGATTTATGAGACATACGTCCAAGAGTAAGGGCGTATGGATAGGTCAGATAAAAATTATAAATGTTTTGAATAGAAAACACTACTATAATACAAATTTTTGATTTTAAAATTGTATTAATTTTTGAAGAAAAGTGGGTAGGCCCAGATCTACCAGATCTACCCGCTGACTACGTCACTATCTAAGAAATGTTTCTCTCGGAAATATTTTCTATACGGTTAGATTTTTATTAGAGATAATTATTCGTATCCGACTTTTACAGAGTGTCGCAATATACAAAATTATAACAATTTTCCGTTTGTTTCACGACACCTGCAGTGTTTATTAATTTTATACACATCTTTGTGTTTTTTTTTTTGACTGTTACTACTTTTTTCGGTTAATAAGCCGTCAAAATATCAGTACCTTTCAAAAGCTTAACACATGCTGATTTTTCGTCGGGTGATACGCATAATATATACTCGTATTATATCATTTGAAATATTTCTCGAGAGATAGTTTATCCACAAAAATTTAGAAAACGCAAAAAAATAATTTAGGTAAACAAATTTTTTGACTGTTCGTACTGTTTTCTCTAAACTATTACTCGTTCCAATATAATAATATGTTAGGTGTCTATCCGAGTGTTGTTCCGAGTGATCGAGTTTCAAGTGTTTCGACTGTGCTGTTCGGATTTTTTTTTTTATTATTAAATACATCCGTACATGTTCATATCGAACGCGATATCGTTGTCAGTGTCAACTAATCGAAATCTTGTGGTTTTTTTTTTTACAAAAATACGCATATTTATTCAAGGCAAACGAAATTTTTTCATACAATTCGAAATATATTCATAGTGTAATAGTATTATTTAGTTGACAACTCTCACCTACAGTGCAAGTCGCAGTTAATATGTATTGAAAATATTAAATAATACTGCGTAATTTTAAATGGCAAAAATGAAAAAAAAATCCTTGAAAAACTCGATTTTTTATATTACACGACTTAAGCAAAAATAAAAGTATTATAAAAAATACCAAACTAACACAAAAAAAAAAACAAATTTTGTCCGCAGTGATTGTATTCCAAAAATTTCTATAGTGAAAAAAATATATGATAATTACGTATTTATCAGGTGTGAAAAAAAACAATTTTCAAATTTAAACAGTACTTCTTATCGTCGTCGTAGACGTAAACTATGAACCCGCAAAGCCGAAAAATCATTTTTTTTTTTTTTCGTAAAGTAATATTATAAAATCTTTTTAAAACGTCTTTTTAAAAGTATTTTAAAAATTGTTGATGATATTTAAAACACTGCAAATTTAAAAATACTGATGGAGACATCTTGTCAATTTATTTCGCGTGATAGTTGAAAAATCTCATAAAAATAAAATTGAATAGGCCAAATGATAAAATAACTACCAAAATGATAAAAGTATATAAAAATGTATTTCTCTTAAATTATATGGAACGATTGTCAGCTGATCTTTGTAGTTATTTCAGACCGAAATGAAACGAAAAATAAATAGAAAATAGTATAAACCGTTGTCACCATAAATTTTCCCGTTTTTTGCCAAACAATTTATAAGTACCTTCAATGAAAATGAAAAAATGGCCACTTCAGGGCACCGACTATCCTCAATTTTCTACCGCGGGAATTCGTCACCCTGCACGGAGTTTATGATCCAGGCAAGATGTCTGCAGGTAAATAATTGTTTACAGAAAGAAAGGAATAGTACACACTAGAAATCTTAAAAATACCGAAAGTATTCGAATGTACTACCTATATTATATTATGTTTGAATCCTCGACGTGTATGTTACACAACGATATCGGTTTACAAACAAAAATATGTATTCCGATAGTAAAAGTTTCGAAAAAAAAAAAAAAAACCTCGAAAAAAACGGTCAGGTAATAATGATACAGTTACCCTTTACTACCCCGTAATAATGACGGCTATGTTCGTTTATTTTGGGGGTAAAAAAAAAATCTCATTCAAAAACTACGTTGCGTTCGTTTGGTTGCGTCTGATGAGAATCCGAGGCGAAAACTAAATAACACAATATCATATTATTTCCGCGGTAACGGTCGGTAATAACGAATTTATATTATTTGTATTTTTTCTTTCTTTTGATTTACCTCGTTTATATCGCGAAAAAGTTTATGAACATTTCAGTTTTTTATTTATTTATTTATTTATTTATTTTTTTTTTTTCGTTATTTATCCTCCCGGTAATAACGATATTATACTATAATCGTATACGCGTTTAGATAATAATACGCGTTATTGTACCAACTGTATTGTTTGTGCGCACGCAGACAACGCAAATATTTGGACACCGGCTGCAAGGTCGTCGGGAACGGAAGACAAATCGGTTTATAACGCGCGTGTATCGCTCATAACGTATACTATAAATAACAATACTGGAATAATATTATTAGGTGTATGAAAAAATTCACACTCGGAAAACGTTTAACCGGCTTAATATTCCCCCCTCTCCGCGTATGTACGTTTTTCAAGGCCGCGGGGTCGAGTTAACGAAAACGGCTATATAATACGATCGGTACGCATTATCAATGAGCTACCCAATTGAAACCCGAATTCAACGAGCTGATACGTATATTATTTACCTAGAGTAGTATTATATGGTCTGCGGCCGTTTCTGCAGTAACCGAAATATTTTCTTTTTCCCCCTGCCGATTCGATTTAGAATTTTAACCGGAAAATATTCTAAGAAATGCCGTTGTTATATAATATTTTGTGATATTTACGGCGTTCCGCCGAATTTCAGGACGAGCGGAGGAAAAATCTACATGGAAAAAAAAATTGCGGAAAAGTAGCGAAAATCGCGATATAAAATCGGTAAAAAAAATTGTAGATAAGTTTTCAGTCACAGAACCGATTAAATTTGATCGGAAAATTGAATAAACTTGATAAATTCATTACTAAAACTACATTTTTCGTATGATTGTTATTGTCATATTTCAGTGAAAATCATTAACTCAGTTAGAATTAGTGGTATTTTTAAGATACGAGTACAATCATTATATTGTCAACACACAGGGGGCTTATTTTAAATTTAAAATTTCGTTGTTGAAATTAAATTAGAAATATAAAACATAATATTATAAAATGTCTAACCTACCGTCCTTACGTGCGGTATAATTCAAAATAACCGTCGCTATTTATCAATTTAATGTTAAAAAATGTACTTTATAAAATAAGTTAATGAAAAAAAAAAAAAAAAAAAAAAATGTTAAATTAAATAAATTCAGAACTAGATGACTTCAGTTATAATTATTGTTAAACTCATTAATGGCCCAACCTTGATTTTTCAATTTTTCAATTTTTTTTTTTCTCATTCTCCGCCATCGTCACCGACAACGACCTCTCCCTCTTCGCGCTTATCCCGTGGCCACAGCTGTGAAAACGCATTTTTACACTTTCGGTAATTAATTATACGAAAACGTTCGCTTTTAATGTATATTTTTATTTTATCAATGCGGGTAAACAATTTATGGTGTAAGTACGTGCAATTTCGGGTCACGTATATTATTATTACAAATGTCCTTGACGGAAAAAAAACCAACAATATAAAAAAATATTAATATTTTATCGTTATGTGTACGGGATTCGGATTTCAGCGATATCAGATAATAAAGCATTATAATAATATAATTTCGCGCACAGTGTTTTTTACAGAATTTTTCCCGAAGATACAGACTATTGCACTATATCCTACATCTGATAATTAAATATACATATCTGTTTGCCTCTAATTATTTTGAGGACTTTTAGCGGCTCCCTCTGTACTAAGTTCAGCTCGAATTTGGGAATTGGAGTTGTTTTGTTAATGGATTTAAGTGATAGAACAATGGTCACTATACGACGTAAAAAGTCCTTTGGATGCTGGTCTTTGTCGCTTTCATAAAATAAATGCTTGGTCATTTCTACATTATTTACATTTCGGTAGACCTCTGTTGCTTGAATTATTCTTCCTGCATTATTTTTTCTTTCTCATACGCGTGTGATATTAAATTCGCTCGGAATTTGCTCGCACGATATTAAAATATATAATACGGTATATAATATACGTACCTGTCCTATATTATTTTTTTGTTTTGTTTTGTGTTTGCGTTTCGGGTCACGGTTCGGATGATAGTTGCACGTCGTCGTCTGCGGCGACGGCCGAAAGCGTCGGATAAGATTCTTATCGCCGACAACATGAACTCGTATAAAAAATATAAATATTATCGTACAGTTGTTTATTCTTCTTGGAAAAAGAAAAAATTATAAAAGACCCTGTGTGTGCGGATCCGATTCTTCGTCGTCGTACATATATTTCGAATAAATATAATGTTATCTCGATGTGTACAAACGCGTTCGAGAAAAACGGGGCGGAATTTTTTTCCATTCTCGAAAAAACAAAAAAAAAATTCGCTAAAAAAAAAGTGTACCAAACGCGCGGGCGTCTCGTTCCTACCTATTATATTGTAAGCGTTGTCCCGAAAAACTGTTGTATTGTTTCTACCGTGTAAAAATATTATAATATGCTTAAAAATGTTCGTCGACCGAAATAACCGAAATAACTGTCGTGTATGTTACTCGGATTTATTTGTTTTCTTAAGGGGACGCCACACTCGCAATTTATGTTCAATAAGTAACGTAATATTTTACTATGTTTCTCGTGAAACGGGAATTTTTTTCTCTTTTTCTGTTATTCCACCAACAGAACGCTCAATATGTCGTTTAAAAATAACGGCAATTCTGCGACGTTTTTAAATGATTGTATAGCGCTATAAAAAAAAAAAAATGTCTAAAAACCGCGTCATTTCATCCACCGTCACAATTATTATCTTTTAATTCTATAACTGGTGGGTTTACTCTAAAATCATAATCGAGCGAGTTTTACTCGGTCTGCGTAAGTATAATGTTTTCACTATGTTGCCCATTGTTTGGCCGAAACATTAAATACTAGAATCGCATCTTAAAGGATTCACCAATATTTCAAATTGTCACCGATTTTGTAAAATTGAAAGATTATAATCATAAGCGTAAGTAGGGAGGTGCTAGGGGGTCTTTAGCAACTCCGAGTTTAAATTTTGTACCCCCGAAAAAACCAATCAGATTTTTCATTGTAACGACAATTTTATAATAAATACGGGTTTTCTACGGACAATGCATGTGTGTATGAAAAATAATATTAAAATAGATATGATAAATTTGTATTTATAAAATTGTTAATGGAGCGTGTAGTTGATTATTATTATAAGAGTTGTGTAAAGGAAATTTCGGGGGCGTAACTCCCATGGGTCTTTGATATGCCCATAATTTTAATAACCCCAAAGTTGATGGTCTAATTGCGCCTATGGTTATAATGAAAAGACTGCCCGAATACCCATTTACTTTTTCATATCGATAAACAATATAATTTTACGTTTAACTCGGATTTTGTATTTGATTTCGAATATCTTATATAATGTATGGTAAGACCAAAAACTTAAAAAAATATTAATTTAAAACGGTATTGAATGCGGATTGACAAATTAAGTAGGCCGTTTTAACGGAGGTGTTAAACTTTTCAACTTAATTTTGCGTTACACGATAAGAGGCCCTGCCATCCCCTCTCCCCCCAAAGAAATGGTGCATCGAGACAGAAAAAAAATATAAAAATGCATAATAAAATCGAGTCGTATAACACAATACTATTGTTTTCACGGAAGACGATAAAAAACAAAAAACCGTATAGACATTTCGATTATTTTTCGGTGAGCACTGAAAAAAAAAAAAAAAACGGGATTTTAAGACTATCGCGGCACCTATACGTGTACACAACGACAACAAAACCGAATCTCGGCGCCGGCCAACGGAGCGGATAATATTATTGTGGACGTTTACCGTTATAAAAATATCATTTTTTTTTTTTTTTTTTTTTTTATATTATTATATCGTGTGTCCTCCTACGCGCGCGACCTATCGGAGGCAAATCGCATACCGCGACGACGATGACGACGGCGAGTTTGCCACTCGGATACCTATACATAATGTTATAATATTATTACTATTATTATTATACAGTCCGAAATAATATTTGTCTTGGTTTTTTTCCCCTTCGGAAAATTCGTTTTCTGCAGTTATATGTACGCATACAAATACTCTGAAACGTTATTTTAATATCCGTCTAGATTCCCATAAAACTGAATTTTCCTCGAAAAAAAAAAAACCAAAACAAATGATGGGAGCACCGTGGTTTCGGAGAAAATACGCAGAAATAAGCAATTTTGAACGCGTAAGCTTCGGACTAAAACGTTTCGAAACCGGACATTTTTTGTTTTATCAATCTCTACAGTTGACCGAATTTCACTCCAGGATCGCGTCATATATTTTTATGTTGATACGGCTGTTCATTTTTTGGATTTCTAGTCGCTTGGGTATTGTAGGGCGGTTAGTGGAAAATTCGAATAATTGCGATAAACTCCGGTTTGGAACTTTTGCGTTTTTTCTTTGTTTTCGATTTTCAAATCGTCGGGTTTTTTTCCATTTTTGAACATATTTTATAATTTTAATTTTATTTTTTCAATCATTTTTTTTGTTTTTGCAAGCATAATGTGATATGTGAAATTGTAAAATGCTTATAAAAAGCGCACGATTTATCTCATTCTAATCGGACAGGTGTAATATATAGTGAACAAAATTGACCGACCGTGTGTTGTGTTAATAATAATGATAATGATTTAACATTTACAACGCACTAGTAACAAACAAAATTATAACGTCCAATTTCCGATACAGGTTTCCATTATGCGGCCGGTTGCGAAGGGATTGTCAAGTAATGTTGATTTTTTTTTTTAATTTTCCCGTTTATTCTCACCTATTGAATTTGCAGCGCTGAAATTTGCATTTATAATATTAGAACTATAATACCTGTAATTTATAACAGTCGTGAAAACGTTATTGCGATTTGTGACCGGCCGTCGTGTTTGTCGTCCGGCAGACGAAATATTATCGAACGTTTTCGCAATTTTTCATTTTTCATTTATTACGCAAATACATGCATACTATATATATACGTACCTATACCGTGTACATTATGCGATAATTGAAAAGACGTGTATAGTGTGGCGTCGACAGTAGGACGACGTATGCAAGCAGACGATTGCTATACAGGAAAAACTGTTAAAAAAAAAAAAAAAAAAAAAAAAAAAAAAATAAAAAAAAAAAAAAANATAAAATACAACAAACCTTAGCTATATGTATAATAGGTAGTTTTGCTAGGAAATAAAAAAATACCGTTGAAACGTCTTATTATATTATATTTTTTTGACACCCCGACCGTCGACGTCATCGCCGCGGCCGCCGTTTTTTTGTTTTGTTTTTTTTTTTTACTTTCGTTCGCGTCTCTTTTATACAGGTACACTGTGTAACGTCTGTAACGACCGTACATATTTTTTTCATATTTTTTTTTTTCACTCTTAACCGTTTGATACAAATATTATTATACTTTACTTACGCCGCCGCTATCGAAAACGCGGCGTTATAATAATATATTTATAAACAAGTGACGGTGGGTTATTTTTTCTTTCGAATTTTCACGTACCCGCGATACCGCGGAATGCGTAATGCGAATAAATTTGACGGGTCTGTTTTTATTTTTTTTATTTTGTCGAGCCAACGAACTCCGCGTTCGTATATAAGTCGACTTTTATAATATAATAGTATATACGTACATATTATTATTATAACGCATACGTACGCGTAAAAAAACGATATTAAACATGGTATAAGGTGGTTCGAATTACAGACTCGCGCAAAAGTTAATCCTCCGGAAAACAGTTACGTACAGAATTTATAGAACGTTGCGAAATTTACATATTATATGATATTTAAAAAAAATGATAATACAGACGATTTGTAGGATGTAAATCGTACGGGTGTGAAGAAAAAGGTCGGATGTCAACAGACGTAAAACGTATATATCTACACCGACGTTTTGTATATTTATGCGCGCAGTCCGGTGAAAATTGCGTACTCGTAGTGAGACTTCTGCAATCGTTTGTGACTATTATTATACTATGTAATCGCGAATGTTGCTTACGTTTTAAAAGCAAATTAAACAACATACGTATATAATATAAACACTAGTAACGTTTTCCTGGAAACGATACGTTCTTATACATAATGCAGTCGTGACTCGAATCCAACCCGGAAACCGAATATGCATTATTGTGAATTAACCATTGATCAAAAGTGGGAACTTAAATTTGTTTAATGATTTACCTTATTTATCGATTTTGATGAAATATGTACGGAGTGCAAACGGATTAAATAACAAAAACCACCTTAGAAAAATAATATATATATGTATATCAAATTGTACGATTTTTCCCAAGTACAGCGGGACTTTAAGTTCCATTCATGTCTAAACCGTGCGGGAATCTTCATGTTTTAATACTGAACCTTTTTTGGTGTTTTTTTAAAAATTATTCTGGGTCACTCGGTCAAAACCATTAATCAATTAATACTATAGCAAACTTGACCTTGAGAAAAATCGGACTCAATATGATAATTGACAATCAAAAATTACCCAGGAAGAAAAAAAAGAAATTGTTCATGATTTTTTTTCCCATGAAAAGTATTGATTTACCATACCTAATTAATATCACATAGAGTACGTATTCAATTATTATAACCAGTATTATCTATGATAAAACAATGCTTTTCATGGAGGAAAAAATACTGATAAATATATTTTATATTTTGTTCTTCCCGGATTACCCTATTCGCTATAGACAGGCGTTGTTTGACTAATTTTTGGCCAAAGCACTAAATAAAGTACTAATAAATTTAGGTCTATAATTGTTACAACAAAAGTGCGAAAGCAATACATTCATTAAAAGCTTTCTGTTTATGATCCTATTTCCTTTTATTTCCCCCTTTTAAATCCGTCCTCACACCGCCATCATAAGCGAATTATATGTCCGGTAACCTAAAAATAGACATGGCAATCTATTCAACGCATGCACAATAATATTATTTAAATGGATAAGACATTATAAAGCCACGCTCGACGGACAGAACAGACTGTTTTCTTTCATATTCTTTTTTTCAATTATTACGCGTACTTACGTATTATATATTATATATTATGATATTTGATACTTGAAAACGACGCACAAGAGTGTAACCAATCCTCTATCTATACACACAGAGAAAAGGATCAAAAACATAATATTTATTTTGGTCGAAGTGTATCTATCTACTGAGGTTAGATTATTTTATACGCTAGTATAATATATTATCATAATATGTATGGTTTTGATGATAAAAGTAGAACGGTGTACACGGATAAGAATATAATATTTTAATTTTATTCATATAATACATATACTCCTCGAGGATTAAGGTAAATCTACCACTTGTGTTAAACATTAATTGTCTTTACCAGTTTATTTTAAGTACATTAAAGTATAACCGGACACTGCTGCAGTGATAGAGAAAGCAAGTCTCGAAAAGCCGAGGAAAATCCGATTTTTATAAAACATATTTATTACCAATAACTTATTAAGTTATATTAAGATATATTTTCAATCGCGTTGCGCATTTAATCCTTCGGGACTGTATATGCATTATGCATTTAGATGTACAAGGTGAAAAAAACTCGCGTATTACATGATATTCGTACTCGGTGATATATCAAATAAAATATACTATAGGTGTACCGTGTAGGTACTCGTATTGCTATTTGTTTTTTTTAAACAAAACTGTCTGCGGTGTTTCGTGATTTCTGAGTAATCAAATATAAAGTGTTAGTTTTCAAAATATTATAATAATATCACGGTGATATCGGCAAAATTCTATTTTAAAACGATGACTCGTCACTGTCACACTATTTTGTCCCCCATTTACAGTGCACCAGCATGCACCGATATCACAAAAACGATTTTGCGTATCGATTGATAATGAAATTTGTAATTAATCTGAAATCACCAAATATCGATTGTATTTATTGAAAACAACAATATTAAAAAAAGTTATTTTATTTTATGCATTATATTACAATACGTCCCATTTAACTCCTGCAAAGGTCATCCAAATATACGAAAAGATAAATAAAAAAGAGGGAGACAGCTTTGTGGGCGGAGACTCCCAGTAGACATTTTGTTTGTACCAAAACAGTGAAAATCGCCTTGTTTGAATGGCTTGCGTCTTTAACTATGGACCTTATATTAACTTTTAAAGCTATTCAAGTGACATAGACGTTCAGTCCACCAGATCTCGCCCACGGTAAATCGGACGATTTTGACAGACTACGTCGATGTAGGAACGATGAACACGTCATGCTAATCTGTCGTCTTTCGAAATTCACCAGATTCAAAGAATCTCTGTTTTGTTTGGACAAACAAATCAATTTCTAAAAGATTTAATTGATTTATCAAACATCAATACTGACCATAAAACCGACAATACCCGGGGAGTTTAAAATTAGGGAATATCATAATGTTATAAGAGACAACGGTTTTTCCCACCCTGTATAATATACAAATATTATAATATTTTAACACGTGTGCTACAAAAATGAAAAAAAAACATTTTAGAAACTCATTTATGTCCGTAATTTTTATTAATTCTATTATTGATGGACCGTGGACAAAATATATAATTAACCTCAAAATTATAATAATAAATGTGGACGACACGTGCTCGCGTATTCCGGCCGTCACTAAGGCGGTGCACTAGCCACTACCAATATTATTATAGAAACTCAAACGTATAAGTATATTTTTACATTTTCAATGTTTAGATACCGTTATATGTATACATAATACATACTAACGACTACGAGAACTAAGTGATAAGCATGCCAAAATCGAAAACGCGAAATATTTATTTAAATATTATTATTATTATTATTATCATTATTATTGTCGCGATCGCCCAGTGTGCGGAACACTTTGCAAACGCGGCACAGAAAACGCCGGCACGCAGTGTTATTAATTATTATTATTATCATCATCATCGTCATCATCGACGTTGTAATAATCGTCGGCTTAACACTTTCTCCGACAAATCCCTATATTATAATGTTAGGCACCTAGACGAGTGTACGCATACAGAAGACGTTTGCGTACAAAAAATACAAACCTTTGTAGCGTTTTAACCTCCATTATTATTATATATTATTGTCGATGACTATTTTTTTATTATCATCCGCACTTTCGATTGATTTTTTTTCCGTATACTTTTATTTAAGAGCATACATATTATAAATATGTGCTCTTTTGTCCGGAAAACTTCACATTATTAGAACACTTTAAATATATATATATATATATATTTGATATTATTTGAATCGTTATTTATTATTATTTTTCCGTGAGAACTCAAAGTGATAGAACAGTCTACGTTACATAAAAGGTCGTGACCGTTAATATTTTTCGTGTACCTACGTATACGCGGTCGATAACTTTTATCGACATTTTCTTTATAGAAATTCAAAATATAAAAATGCGTGAGATTCTTACATTTTACATTATTTTTCGGTAACTAGACCGCAGTATAATAATGGTCATGGCGGACAATTTATTTACCAACGGTTTAAATTAATAGGTTTTGTAACAAAATATCATACGTCATGTAGGAAATACTCTCACTGCTAGGAGGAGAGACGACTATAGTATGAGTCAAAAATTAAAGGGACGGTTCGGTCTATCCTACATGTGGAGGTTTTTTGAAATATGGAGCGTGTACACGTAGTGGATATTCGATATTAAAAAATAATAAAATCTCCCGATTTCTCTTTATTTGCATACTATTATCTAATACATTATATTCCCAATCAATAATTCGTGTTTTCTGCGGACCTTCTTTAATTTCGTCCGAACGACGCGCTCTGAGTCTCCCCCTGACCTGTTGCAGGTTTCCATTCCAGATAGTTGCTCTTATTCCGCGTCTCCCCTTTACTTGCGCATTATTGTACGTCCAAACCGTGACAGTCTCGGTTCAGTATCCTAAACATTGTAACTAGTTTTAATGCTGTCGTGTACTTATAACAAAAAAATCAATTTGATTGTCGATATCGTGCGCAATCAATTCACTTTTGATTTTTTTTCCCCCGAACGTTTTGCAACGCCCGATGAGAATAATTCGTTTACACGTTATATTTTATTTTAACGGTATATACATACACAAACGTTCATTACATATTTAAAATATTGAGTAATATACTATTATTATGATCATTGTAAGTTAAACTATATATATATAGGCATTAAATAATACAAAAAATATAAAGAGTAAAGATAAAGTAAAAGTAAAAATCCTTTCTAACAAATGCCTACGAGAAAAATCGACGCGAATTGATAAACTTCATTTTTTAAAGTTTACAACTTCTGTTACAACCTCTGTTAGCGGTTTATTTTTTCCCGTTTAAAATTAAAAAATTGCCCGGTCTTACGGCACATTAAGAAAATAATTATTGCTTACTTTGCCGAGTCTACATGATAATAACAGCAGTAGGCTACTCGCCCAATTAGTGATAAACACAAGGTACAAATATATGAAGAGCAAAAATAATTCCCCCCCCACGAACAACTAATTCGTGACATCTAATGATTTGTTTATTTTTGTTCGTTGTGGGTAGGTACCTAGTTAGTTGATTTATTTTTTTTTGTTTCACTTATTTCTGCTGTAACACGATTCTGTAGAGAATTTTTTTTTTTTTTTCAGAAACTCGCTATTACTATTAGTATTATTATTATTACTATAATTATTACAATTATTAGGCGTTTTAAAACGAAATAGAGTGAAGCGAAAATCGGATTAGAGCGTAAGGCTCAGCTAACTCTTAGCACGTGCGTTATGTCGTTGTCGTTGCACACGACTAATTCGGAATTTCGAACGCGGTGACGCCGGTGACTAACCGTACGGGTACCTGCTTGTCTCCCTGCATGCCCGCCTCTGTAATATAATATGTACACCGTGTTGGGCAACGGGGCCGAAAACTTACGAAAAATCCGCGTATTATCTAAATTCAAAATACATTAATTTAATTATGGTTCTTTTTTTTTTCTTTTTATCGCCGCGTACGTGCGTAGTCAGAGGCGAAAAATTATAAACGCACGTGCGTCAAACTCTCGTATAGGTACGACGCGAATGGATATTGAATAGTTGTGTAACACATTATATACGATATGAATAATAATATATTGAAATTTGTACGCGCATATTAAAAAAAAATAATAATAATAACAATAACAATAATAAGTACGCTTATGCTATACATAGGCGTACTTATACGTAGATACGTAAAATTATTGCAGTTTGACACCCGCAGTAAACAAAAGTATAATATATTTCATAGTTTCTGTATGTGTATGTGTGTGTGTGAAATGTGCACGAATCGCAGTAAGAAAAAGAAAAAAATCGTTTTCTCGGAAAATATTTCCGATACCAAGCGCACGATTATAATAGGTACCGCGATGACGACGTGTTTGAAATTCTCTTTTCCCGCGTTCTGTGTACCTTGGCGCGATTCAAACGGTTTTAAATTACAATTTAAAAATTGAAAAACACTTATATCTTGCTTGAAAATTTAAAAAAAAAAAAAAAATACCATACGTAATTGCTTTGCAGACGATGTTCTTGTCTTTGAGTTTGATAATTGCTCACTTTACTATTAAAACGGACCGCACAGAGTCGGTTTCGCTGAACGCGAATACACATCGTATTTTGGGCGTATAGGCGAATTTGGGAAAAAATTTGTGTTTATCTATTTTGGTTTAAAAATAGTTCTTATCACTAGTGTTTATTGTATTATCGTGAAATTGATTTTAAAAATAACACGTTTACGCGAAACAAAACAAAAATATATTACCGTTTAAAGTTATTTCTGAACTTTAACTTGTGATAAACATTTTAACAATAACTTATTTATTTAAAGTGTTAGACATTGATTTCCAATTAACTCGAATGAGGCGGTATAGTTATTCAAGATTAAAAATTAGCCATTTTTTTACAATTAATAACATATATCGTAATACTTATAAATATTTCACTAAACCGGTATGTTATTCTGTAGATAAAATGTGTGCTCTTTAAATTTCGTCAAAAGTTGTTATTTTTTTTTTAGCGTTTTAAACCATAATTATTCCGATGCGATAAAATGGTTTTTCGACACAAAGTTTTCGTGTACAAAAACCCTTACGCTGACATCCTCTTGAGAGGACGTCGTAATACGGCTGCTTTGTACTATCTCTGTCTTTCAAACACACGACATGGCGAATTTCCGTTCAGCCGGTCAA